ACAAAAAAAATCTCCACCCAGCTGAGCAGAGAATAGGTCAGAGCTGTGAGGGATAGATTGAATCAAAATTGCTCCAATCGTATCTTTAGATAACAGTAGAGTCCCCTCCGTTGGTGGTGGGCAGAGTGGCCCCACACCTCCGCAGTAATGAGAGCGTCTGGTGAGCAGGGAGGGAGGGGAAGTGGGGGGTTCTGTTGAGTATTTAGTGCTTTTAAAATCGGTTCCCTCTTGCGTGCCAACTTCCAGAGCAGCCGTCCTCCACACGCTGCTCTCCTGAGCCTCTGATCAGCTGCTTTGCTAATGTGGAGGTAAAAAGAAGTGTGGGGGTGCTCAGGACGGGGGGAGGGGCAGCCCGCGGGACTTCCTGTTTGTGTACGGACCTGCAGTGGGATACTCTGGTGTAATGGACACAGAGATAACCTCACGGCAACAGGAAGATTAATCACCCAGTCCCCTGGTGATGTGGCGGTATAATCAGGTGGGGAGGAGGCGAGGGAGGGAGGGAAAGGGGGAGAGAGCTGTGGGATTTGTGCGTCTCTTAGCTGTGAAACAATTATGATTGTTCTGGGAAGATTGTCGTTGTTGGAGGAGAGCCTCCAAACACCACTGTTCCCTCGGTGCAGTGTACTGCAGCCCACTGCACACGTTGATGGAACATGGATATGTTGGGATGCTGCCCATAAGACCCTGGTGTTTGTCTGAAGTTCAGTGTGGAAGTAGGTGCCCCCTATTTTTGGTGAAGTGGTAGATACCATGGTCAGTCGGACCACCTGTCACGGTTCAAATCATCATTTCCACCATCTGTGATGATGCACAGGCTGAACGAGGAAAATCTGGAAAAAAAAAAAAACAAATCTTCATGACTGTACACTGCCCAGCCGAAATCTGTGCCAACACACGAATCCCACTTCACTGGGAAAATAAATAAATAAAAAAAAAAAAGCAGTGCAGTGTTTGGTTTTTGAAGTGATTAACACACTCCCTGTCAAGTGATGCAGCAAGTAACTATCTATTCCCATAACAACCATGTACGAAAGCTTTTCATGGTTTTGGAAAAAAGACTCTTGTTCTGTTAGTGGGTTTAAAGGAGGTCAACGCACTGACCTGCGTCCAGCAGAGTAAACAGCTGAAGAGGAAATGAAACTTCTTAAAGAAAAAAGGACATGGGAGGCTGTTGCCACTGAGACAGAGATGGGGTTTTAAAAAATGAACGAAATGTGGCTCGCGGTCAAATAAAGCTTCAACAAAACCAATCAAGCAGAAATCAACAGTAAAACTGGTGCATTTTCACTGTTCAACCCCAGAGGTTCAGAATAAATAGCCGTTAAGTCGGCGGCTAAAAGTGCTTATCACTAAAGCTGACGGGGAAAAAGGGATATTCACTTCAGAGAGAGTTTAGAGATTTGATTCTGCAGAAATAGAAAATAATATTTACACTGTTTACCAGCAATAGTAGGATCAGGACAGAGGAATAGAGCTGTGTGAATGGTTACCCATACTGCCATGGGCCTACTGCTAAAGCCTAAGGTGGAACTCTGAGCCACATCTGATCCAGACCAGGTTGGGAAACACTATAAATATGAGGTCTGTTTCCTGTTCCTGCTGTGTGGGTTAATCATTGTGATCACAATCACCTGTGTCTCTGATTAGTCTCACTGGTATCACCTGGTACCCTGTGTATATATACCTCTCCCTCACGCTGGCTTGGTGGGGTCATTATACTGTTCAGTTAGTTGGTTTCTGTGTGTGGTTGTAGTTCCTGCTTTGAGCTACTAGTTTGTACCTTGTAGTTCCTGCCTAGTCTAGTTTATGCCTTGTTCCTGCAACCCAATGAATTTAGTTCCTGCCTGCTTCCTGCCCTGATGACATGTGACAGTAAAGCCTTAGTAAAGTTGCTGATGAAAAGTTGCTTAGTAAAGTCAGTGTCTAAGGTTTCTGCTAAACCGGCATTTTCTGAAATGACAAGGTTTGAATTCATCAAGCTTAAATTTTGACAATGTGTTTTACAGAGTCAGCATGTTGGCCACAGGATTTTGAACCTCAGTTTTGGACCTCAGTTCAGACCTCATCTTACAGGAACTCTCAAAGCCCAAGAGGGTCAAAGGTTAGAATTTAAAATTGTTTTTAAGGACTTATCATCTCCACATGGAGAAACAGAGTGATTAGTGTGAGTAGACAGATCCACTGTTTATTCATCTGTATGAAGATGTGTGTGTGTGTGTGTGTGTGTGTCATCACACTGTTGCATATGTTGATATGCTTTTGATCCAAATGCTCCTCCAGGCCGGCTTACATCAGGTTATCATTTATTTATGTGCAGAAACTAAAATATTAGTTGCTTTATTGTTTGTTATTACTGTTTTTAGAGAAAGAAAAATCAATAACAAAGTATGAAAAAAAATTGTTGCATGAAAGATACAACAATTAATAAAATATATATATATTTCAACATGTAGACAAGTCACATACGTGATGTCATCTAAACAAAGGTCATTATGTTAAAAAGAAAAAAAAATCTTAAAGCTTCATTAAAGTAAAAGGACTGGATTCATTACTGTTGTTTATTTCACTGCTGAATTTCCTCAGGTTTAATGAAGCCTGAGATTAAACATTTACTCCATGAAGCACATTTTTATTTTCCTTTTTTTCCAGCTCTATTTGTTTACAAACATTGTTGATCTTATATCTGCAATCTAAGAATGGAACCCAAACTGTCACATCACAATATTAAGAAATGTTGTTAGCATTAGCTAGGTGTTTTCATGTGCAAAAAAAAAAAAGAAAAAAAAAGAATTACAAATAAAATTGATAACTTTCTGATCTGGCTTTTAATAAAACATTTTCATTTATATGCATCAGTTTCCAGCCTACTTTAGAAAAAACTAAATTAGCTGTGAATCCTACTGTGACTTGACTTGCAGCTCATTTTGAATGACAACACCTTGTTTTGCTCCCCTTCTGGTCCACAGAGAATGCATTAATCATGGACCTCATTTGCATAAAGGAACAACGTAGCTCACACCCCCACGCATACAGAGAAACACATGTTGGAATAAGATGGAGGAACTTACCAGAGTTCTTTGAGCCTCCGCTAATCACTGATTAAAGCGATCAGATGTCTGACTTGTAAAGCTGGGCCTTAAGGCGTTTCCTGTGAGTGAGTAACAGAGGAGACTGGGACGGTTTTAAGAAAAAAAAAGTCATATTTAAATAAAACTGCAAAACCTGAGCATTCATCATTATTAACATAATTATTTCACGCCGCATGATAATTTTCTCTTTCACCACAGTCACTCACATTAGGTTATAATAGCCAATTAAAGCCATTACTTTTTAAGTGAATGAAATGAATCCGTCGGGACAGGGCAGCAGATAACAGGAGAACGGAGTCGTCTTCACATCCCTTTAATTAACATATTGCCTTTTGATTACATCATAACGTTGGTTCCTACTGTTCCTCAGGCACAGTGAGTCAAATATAGTTTCATATGTTAAATCTTGGTAATACACCTGAGCAATTAGCCAAGATGGTCTCAAGCTGAAGCCACCTAATCCCTGCAGTTAAATTAAGACAGAGGACATTTTTGCAGATTTTTTTTTTTTATTTTCAGCCTTTAGGAATGACAAGGACAAATGTGTGTGTGTGTGTGTGTGAGTGTGAAGAAGAGAGTTTTTAAATATACAGTATATTAACCTTCATGGTTATATGCAATGATCAAAAGGCTCTGGCTGGGAGGTTGAATTTAAGGTTGGTGTGACCTTGAGTCACATGGTACCAGTGTCACTAAAATTCCTGATGGTTCCAGATTATCCCAAAGCCGGCACCTGAAGTTGCAACCACTTAGATTTTCAATGACCCATAACTGCTCCTTTTGGATCACCTGTGATCAGTGTTTCCCTGCAGTAGCCGCTGTATTAACATGTAATAATTCCCTTCCTTTGTTGTAATGTTGATGTGATGCTTCAGTCCTCTATTACCACGCCGGCTCACAATTGCACTTCTATATGTGAGAGATTCAGAGTAAATGGTGCGTGGCGTGGTGATTTTGATACTCTGTGACATCATCACGACTGGTTGCTGTTCACTCGGCTGCAGATATAGGGTCGCTGCAAATTTAACATGTGTTGATGGGAAAAATGCTTGGTGGCTTTTAGAGCAAAATGCAAAGGGTCTGTCACGGTCACATGTGTGCTCAAAATATGAAACATGGGCTTTTTCTGGGTGGGGGAGAGGGCGACGGGGCACTTCGACATTTGATTGGTTCACTGGGAAATTATGAATGTGCTGTGTCTGGAATTAAATTGTGCCTCCATGTGGAATGATGGAAACAGGCAACATATGAACAGACTTAAATTAAATGAACTTGTACTCTGACCTGGAGATGTCAACTCTTTTTCTGACCAGAAACAGCAAATGACTGAAATCCATTAAAAACTAGTCTTTTCTACCACGAGTCCACAATGACTCCAGTCTCTTTCAGTCGCTAATCAAAATTGTCATCTGTATAATAGCTGTTGCAGTAAAACATACAATGTCTTATTCATATGAGGAGAATGTGATGCGAGTTTGAATTTGCTGCATTCTCAAAGGAGGCGTTGATATATTGTATTTTTTGGAACAATGCTAGCATCTATTTATTTATTTTTATTTACATTGATTGTCCTCAGCAGAGATGTGTGGGTTGTTTGTCGCGTTGTCTGCCATGTTTTTTTCCTCTAGTCCTGCTTTTGCTGCGCATCAGAATGCTCCATTTCTTTCGCTTTGACTTAGCAGACTCATCGTTAATGATGTCAAGTATTGATCTGTTGTCTGATCTTTCATGGAGTGCACTCAATTCCAGACAGATAGACTCCTGTTCTATTCCCACGGAGCGAATCAGCTCAGAGAAGGGGAACCGGCAGGTGTTTGAGGAATGCTCTGACATGCAGCAGTCAGCAACAGGTACAAACACCGCTCCCAGGGTTCAATGGTTTCTACAACAGTAACAATGGTAAAAAAATAGATAACAATAAGTTACAAATACTTTAATTTGAACCTATATACATGGTTCTTTACAATCTTTAATTTTCAGTGCATTAGAAAAGATGGATTAAAGCTGGTCTGACCCCAGGAGTTTCAATGGAGATTCATTAGGTCCCAAATATACAGGTGTTTTAAAGTCTGAAATGTGAGCGCCACATGAAGGTGATAAAGGTGTTCAGAACACTGAATATGGTGCATGAAAAGATGAAATTTTGAAGATTGAATCAAAAGTCTCTGCTGGTGGTTGTGGACATTTGAAGATATTCCACCTCAGATCTGAGATGGTTCAGATGTCAGTCGTCCCTCTGCGCTAACAAGCACTTTTCAGGGCTGTAGACGGAGGAGCAGTGACACTGATTGGACTGTTAAAGTGTCACTGCAGCTGCTGCTGAGGCAACTTTTCTTGGATATTAATGAAAGCAGCACCAAAAGATCAAGGTGAAAATGTGGCCATCAGACCCAGGTGAAGGTCACAGTCTGAATCTAAATGTTAAGGTATGTGTGTGTTTCTACACACCCACGTGTGTGAGTGTATGTTTGTTTGTTGTCCTGTGAGGACAGTGTTTGAGATGGAAACGATGAGCACAAACATGGTACTGATTCACAGCTCTGTTAACTGGATCGGTGTTTTCTTGCTGTACTGTACACATTTTTTGTAAGCACTTATTTAACACATGCTGGAGAAGGACAAGAGCTGTCCATGGTTCTAACAGAGAAGCATTTGACACTAACAGCAAAATTGTGATAAATAAATGAAATTGTAAAAAGAACAGGAAAAGTCGCGAACTAGGAACAATAATATAAATAATAAAAAAACACTGATTTTACGCATTTTGATAGCAGAGACATTTAAAATGCTTTTTGTTAAAGAAAAGTTTATCGTGTGAACAAAGCATGGCAGAGAGCTGTCCATGGTGCTGATCAACACGCCACTGCTGTTCAGCAGTCCCAGCGAAAACAGAGGCAATAAATAAGTAAAAAACAAATGAATGAATACAATTTTGATCTATGACAATAGTCCATTACATGGCAGTGTTTGTGTGCAGTATGTTCGACAGCTTAAATAACAGGCAGCTAGTTGGACAGGCCTCCCACCCACAGATGGGGGCATCCAACTACTCAAACTCACATTCAAGACTATTTTAAAACTTGTTTTACTAAGCAGTTTTATTGGAAATTCCAAGGTCTTTGTAAGAGGGAAGACATCATTTCAGATGATAAAATGCATGGATTGGCTGATAGTTTTATACCCGTCCTTTAAATGCTTTGCATGTCCCTCCTGACTGCTTCTGCAATTTCAGACGTTAAATGGCTGAGTGCAGCACTTATTAATGTTGGCGAATTCCTTTCTGAGTAAGCTCCGGTCCAACATCGCATTACAATTGATATCCACTTCCATGCTGGCTTTTTCTTATAATTGGTGACAGAGCATTGACTCTGCTCAGTGTTATCTAAGTCATTGGTATAGAACAGAAAAAACATTTTTCTCTGTTCACTTTCTGCTTGGTGACAATACAGCCATTGAGTGGATCATAAATACTGATGTGTTTAGAACAGAGAAACCTTCATTTGTTTACAGTTAAGTAACAAGGACACTAGTGTCTAAAAAGGTCTTTTCTGTGCTTTACAGAAAGAGAAGAAAAGTACAAGCTGCGTGTGTGTGTGTATTGGTCTCCCACTGTGACACCTGTTTTGCATAATTAGTTGTTGGTACCTCATTAACGGATATGTAACAAAGCTAGGAGCTTTCTACCAAAATGCACAAGCCCCTTAAAATCAAGGTCACTTCTGAAATTGGTTTAATCTGTTACTGCCCGGGACATGACAGATTCTAGGACATTAGGTAATTGCTTCTTAGGGAAAAAATGGCCGAGCTCTGTGAGGCTAGTCATCCGCTAGTATGAATATTACAGATCGCGCCGAGGAACAAATTAACTGGGTTGATGTATGATATCTCAGGAAGTGGGGCCCTCTCTCAGAACACTGGGCTGTCTTTTGGCTTATGTTAAATGCATCTGACGTGGGCTTTTTTACAGCTTTGATGATCAGTCAGACTGATGGCTGAGAACAAACAGGAAGGATGTAGTGATGCATCGTGAGGGTGTTAGTGAAAATGTCAAATGTTAAAACAGAACACTTGCCTAAATTTGTACAGAAGGAAAACAGCCTTTGGAAGAGTCATCAAAAGAAGAGACATGTAAATAAAGAGTTTTTTTGTTTTTTTTAACACTGCCTTTCAAGAGTAAAAACGTGCTTTTAATACTAATACAAAGTATTTTGGCCCATTTGTTGTCTGGTGGAGAGAGAGATTGTTCTGGGACAGGGAGTTTTTGTCTTTGTGTATTTTATTTTCTCCAAAGAAAAAGGAGATCAAGCTGAAAAAAAAAAAGTTTAAATCATAAGAAATAAGTTCTCAAAACTTCTAGGAAAGAGAAACTAAAAAAAGAACAAAAAAACATAGAAATAGTGCAATGTTATTAAGCATATAACCCACATATACTTCTAAATGTATATATATATTTGGTATGATGGATGTATATTATGCAAGCTGAAGCAACACTATGTTTATCAATTAAGATCATTAGTCTAAATCAGGGGGTTAACCTTTTTGACCTTGAGGCCTAATTTCATCGTACTTGGGGAAGTTGGGATTGTACATACACCAAAAATAGAATCTTTTGGGGTGCAGGAGCTCCATACAATGTTTGTCCTTTTTTCATGGTAAACACTTCTCTTTACTTTTTGCTTCAGCTAGTGTAGAGAAGACAACAGTCTTCTTCTCTTCATATTGGAGCTTGTTAAAGAACTGACTTGTGCAGTTACCGCCCCCATGTGGTCATGTGGGAAAGCTGCATTGTAACTGAGATCTCATAGACTTGATAACCTATGTAGTTCCGCGGCCAATAAGGACAAAGCTGAAGGTTCGGGCTGCAGCCTTATGGTTAAGAATCACTTAACTGTAAAGTCAAGGTTAGCTAACCTTGTTTGAACTGTGTATGGACAGATATTTTCTGTTGTCTTGTGTTTATTTAAACATTTGAAATGAGTTCAAACATTCAATTCCAATTGATGGGAATTTATCTCATACAGATCTTAGAATCTGTACAAGAGAACGCCCCAAGCACCGCACTGATCAAACAAGAACACAACACGTTGTTGAACAAATAATCTTGTTGTAGAAAACTATCAAGGAAAGAAAAGAGTAGACTTTATCTGGTTGGTTTTTATGGGGGAAGCTCCGGGAGCTACAATTCAAGCAAATACCACAGGAGTACATCGAGTACTGGACGAACCCAGAGTAAAGACAAATATCATACATTTATTGGAACGTTCATTACAAACTTGTCCATTTCATAAGCACTAGTTAAAACAATATAAAAACTCAAAGTCTAATTACAGGCCTGTTGAAATCAAAGTTGTTTTTCTTTAGGGATTTTACAGATTGAAGGCCTCTGACCAGCTGACCTTAGATTGTAGACAGAGTTATGGAATTCCAGCAGGTCAGACCAATAAGCTAGAGCTCTGCAAAAGAAGTAAAATTTAATAATGACAAAAAACAACAAGTGATGCAGCATAAAACCAGAGCCTGGTCCCTAAAGATAAAAATGATTTTTTTTGTGCTCTGAATGGAGACTTTTGATAAAGACTTTCTGCTCCAACTTTAGGCATGTCAAGTTGTATTGTGCCTGTTGTGATCACTTGTAGAGAGTAAATTTAAAGAGGGACAACAAGACCCAATTTGCCTCATATCTTTGGCCACCACAGCACACTCAGCAAAAGAAGAAGAAGAAATAAAGAAACTCTTGTTTCTGGGACAAACCCCTTGTTATTCTATGTCATCAGTTATTCTGTTTTTGCCACCATGCCTGTTTTCTGCAGTGTCTCTCCGGGTTGGTACACCGCTGCAGCACTTCCTGTCCTCTATGAACGAACACTGATGTTTATTGAAGATCTTTTTGGCTCTAGCAGAAAAGCCATTATAAAAACTTCCAACATAACTCAGCAGTATGTTGGGGTCTGGTAAGCATGGCCCAGATCGATAGAGGAAATCAATTCATGTCACTGTCTGCATTAGCTGTCGGTAAATGTGAGGCATCCTTTCAATGGAGGGAGGAAATGGCTTTTCAAAGGAGAGGTAACCTGGAGGAGAAGGGATT